CCAGATAAACCAATTTATTTTTACTCTTAAGGTCATTTGAGGATCTGTTCCTCAGGGGTCACATGGGCTTTGGAGGAGCCCCTGGCTCCTTCCTTTTACCAGTTCCACCTATGTGAAGATAAGTCAAAGGTCCTGCTCAACCATGGTTGGCTTTGCTTGGAAGCATGGAGGAAATGATTCCTCTGTGTTGACCCTCCTCTTTGTAGACTGGACACTGGTTCACGTCCATCTCATGGGGTCTCCTCGGCCTCCTTAATCAAGAGGACAGGTGAGCCACCACAATTACAGGACATTCTGAGAGATGCTCATAGTCCCCTGGAACTAGTTGACCTAGGAGGACAAGGAGCAAAAACTATTTTTTATGTCCCTCTGACCAAATTATTATAGGCCTCAAAGTGTGTCTGTTAAACACCCAAGAAGGTTAGCTCCACCAGTCTGGTACTTCTAATTACTGTGTGTCATGTAGATAACTCTTGGGCAAAGACCGATTGTTCTCATCAGAAAAACCTTACCTAGACATATATTTCCTGATCTGCTATGTATAATTTGTTAGTAGGTTGTAGGAGTAATATGGTTCCCTCTGGTTTTCAAAACTACCTAGGCATTATTTATCTCTCACATTGTCTCACCCCTCCATCATGGTTTTCCCACTTAAGGTGCCCCCATTTCCCCCCTTTCTCCCTTACTAATACCCTGCTCTTATGGTCCTACCTCTCTTGAGCCCCTTCTTTCCCTTTATCCCCCAGGTTCCTTGTATATCCTTCTGTCCCCGCTCCCTTAAAATAACCCAATTTTCATCCATATCTCCCTTATTAAGGCCTGTTTCCTACTGTTCTTCTCTTTCAGGTTCTTTCTTTTCCTTTACCTCCCTGTTTCCTTTCCATTATCCTGGTTCCTGTAGTTATCTGGTTACATACTCACCAGGGTTTGGTTCTAGGATACACATATGAGGGAGAACATATGTCAATTTTTTGAGACTGTGTTACTTCACTTAGTATAACAGTTTCTAGTTCCATCCACTTACCTGCAAATTTCATGATTTCATCTTTCTTTGCTGCTGAGTAAAACTCCTTCATATAAATGAACCACATTTTCATTATCCACTTGTCAACTGAGGGACACTGAGGTTGCTTCCATCTCTCAGCTGCTATGAAAAGAGCAGCAACAAACATGGGTGTACAAGCATCTCTACAATAAGATGAGTTCTTTGGGTATATGCCAAGGAGTGGTATAACTGGGTCAAATGGTAAGTTCATTTGTAGCCTTTTAAGAGTTCTCCATACTGCTTTCCATAGGAGTTGAACAAGTTTGCAGCCCCACCATCAGTGGTTGAGTATTCCCCTTTCCCCACATCCTCTCCAACATTTGGTATCATTTGTTCTCTTGATCTTAGTCAGTCTGACTGGGGTAAGATGAACTCTTAAAGTGGTTTTAATTTGCATTTCCTAATTATTAGTGATGTTGAACATCTTTTAAGATGTTTCATAGCCATCTTTACTTCTTCTTTTTAGAACTCTCTGTTCAGCTCCTTAGCCCATCCTTTAATTGGGTTACTTCTTGTCTTGATTCTCTGTTTTATTAGTTCGTTATATATTTGGGATATTAAGCCTCTGTCAGATGTATCTCTGGTGAAGATTTTCTCCCATTCTGTGCATTTTCTGTTCTCTTCCCTGGTTGTCTCCTTTGATGTACAGAAGATTCTTAGTTTAATGAGGTCCCATTTGTTAATTCTTACCCTTGTTTCCAGAGCAATTGATGTCCAGTTTAGAAAATCCTTTCCTACACCTATATCTTGTAGGTTTTTC